ACCACTATATTTTCAAATGTTATGCGTAACTTTTCAGTTACACACTTGTTCACTTGATTTGCAATTTCTTTTCCAGTAGTTTGACATCGCACGGAGTACAAACAAGCCAGTTCCTCAGTTACTTCAAAGTTGTCATCAACACCTTGAACGAAAATTAGAAGTTGAGCGGTATTCTTCAAATCAGTGCTCTTGTCCATTGCTAAAGAATAATAGCTGAATTTGTTTGCCTTCTGTTTTAACTGATCGTTAAAGTTATTGGCTCTTCACTGCAGTCATACAGGACAAGCTTATATTCTCAAAAGCATTTTTTTATTGAGACATAATCTAGAACCTGCAATTAACAAACACTTCTTTATGAAGTCACCTTCAGTAAAAGACTCCCCAGCAGCAGCAATTTCTTTAGAAATCGGAAAAATAACCTTAGTAGCTGCCTCATTTTCTGAGTGTACTTTCTTGAAAAACTGTTGTTCCCCACTGAGAATTTTCAACAATTTGGACGCTTTAATTTGTTTTTCTTTGGTGTCTAATTTGGCTAAATCAGGATGTTTTGATTCGAAATGGCCACACAGATTGTATTCCTTAGGAACGGCCATTATGTCTTGGCAAACAAGGCACAATATTTTGTCTCTAGTGTATGTAAACAAGTATCTGTTTGTCCACTCCAGATTAAACACTCTATGTTCTGATTTGATCTTCTGCTTCTTTTGATCATCCATTTTACAAAGGTATTAGTCTTGTAAAATTTACAATTATAAAAATGGCCGTTCTCCCAGAGCTGCTTCAGTGAGTAATTTTGCCGCCGTCGTCGCCGTCATAACATGCCAGCGCTCACAGGCTGAGCACTGATTGGTTATCTCCCGGAAATCACCCCTGCAACAGTTTGTCGCGGAAACTTTATTTAAAAAAAAAAATACTGCATTTTTGGACCTCACGCTCATGAGCAATGTGGGCCGCATGAAATCCTTTGGCAGGCCTCATGTTGTGCAGGCCTGGGGTAGATGCATATGGGATAAGGTATACTTACCTTCTGCCAAGTAAGTTTAAGTTAATTCCAGCAGGAATGTAAATAGGGTTTAGAAATAAAATGGAAGCCAGTTCAGGCAAGAATTGCCTGGTGAAATCTAATCATAGTGCTTGAGGTAGAGAGATCTGATAGCCATATTTTACAGAAGCTGAAATATCTTGCCTTTTATCAGAAACCAATCCATGTATAATCAAATAATGCAAATAGGAAGCAGGAACACTGTAGTTAGATATCTTTGTTTGGACAAGGATAACCACAAATGATTAGGAAATATCTAGCAAGCTAGGTTTTTTTTTTTTTTTTAAAGAATGCATTTAATACTTGTCAGACTGTATGTTTAGGACTTTTGCATCAATTATTTGAGAAAAATTAAGATTATTTCATATGGAAATAAGCAGTTATTAAGTCAGTTCTAGTCACTTAAAGACTTTTTACTTCTTGTTTAACACAGGTTCAGAAACCAAGGGCCATACATATATTTCTGGATTACCATTCCCAGTGTCCTTCACCTTTGGCTATATTGGATAAAACAAATGCAAATTACAGTTTGGGGGGCTCACAGGATGCTCACCCTCATTTTATTGTTTTGGAATCTGGAATGAGTTTGAGCTGAGGATATTTTTTTTTGCCCATGTAAGTGGCAGCATCTAAGCGCCTTTGGCTAATCTAAGAAAACTCAGCAGGGCCAGAACTCATTAGTATATGGAAGGGATGCCACCAAGAAATATCAGGGCTGTAGGCTAGACTGGGAAGTAAAACAAAAACAAAAACATTCCAGAAGAAAACAATAAGAAACCATTTTATGAGGTTGCCAAACCTCCCAACATGGGTGTGTTGCCATTTAAAAATTGGTTTGTTAGAGATAAAACATATAACCTAGATTAAATAAAAATCAAAATGGTTTAATATCATGGCTTATTCTGAAGCTGCTAATTTGGGCAAAACAGAATAATATGGGTAATTATGGCTTTTGTGGAGAGGGTCTATGATTTATAAGCCAAAATGGGACCATCTGAACTTGGCCACTACCTAACTGCCATTAGTTAAAAGTGGAAAAGAAAATTGATAGTTTTACCATGTGTATGAACCATGTTACATATCTTAAGAAACAAACGTGGGATAAAACAATTGAATAATTTGGGCAGTTTGCTTTCTCTAGCTATGTACCATTGGAGTGTTGGTACTTGCCTTCTTTCACAGGGGGCCTTCTATTGTTGGGAGAGAAGAAGGCTGCTTCTTGATTTGAGTTGGGAATGGGGAAAGAGGGCATAGCAGCATGCACACAGTCTTTGGATGGCTTAGGGACCTCTCAGTTTCAAGCAAGTGCTGCTTGTGAAACCTTTGAGACCAAGTACTAACAAATCCATCCTGCTCCAGTCCAGTTCAGTAGCATCTTTTACATATAACCAAGACAGGAAACCAGTGTGTGGAAATAATAAATATTATGTTTGAATTGCTTCTTTCTCCATTGTGACTCTTGTGCACATATAAGAGCAGTCAATGAAAAAGCAGTTGTCTGATATAATTCTGCCTGTAATAGATCTGTCAGAAGGAAATCGTTAACTGAAACTTGTCTGAGGGAAAATTTGCCATTTCAGATATATTAATTTCTGGTTGAGGAAACTGAAGCTGATAAAGACTTTTGTTTAATCTTACCTTTGAATTATTATTCAATTTCATTGGAAAATATCTGTATAATCATAAAAACTTCAACATGGATCCTATTTGGAGTTAGTGCTGCCACTTTTTAAAAGTAAATTATACTGATGTTCATGTATTCCCTATTTAGAGCAATGCAGTTGCTTTTAATCTAATGTTTTAAAAAATTCTAACATTTTTTTTAATGTTAACATGAAGAGAACCTCAGTAGAAAATTTATCTGAATATCTAAAAAATGGCATGCTTGGTACAAATGATTTTTCATTGTGTGTTTTCTAGGTTGAATTCTCAATTCACATTGTGGGGAAAGAATTGAGGCTCCATGGATAGAGAATAATGTGAATTGAACACCTACCCTAAAGCTTTCTACCAACACTCAGAATAAATGAACTAGTGTGGTGTATTTACGTGTTAGAATTATTATTGCTTCAATTTGAATGTGACATTAAATTACAGTTCAGTACTATGGGGCCACAATAACTCTCAGGCTTATATACTACCTTCGTCAGTCAAACTTGGATTCTTTTTTAGATGAGTGTTGTTTCCAAACTTGAAAATGTGATTAATCTTGATGAGAGATAGTAAAACCAGAAAATTTGCAAAACATGGTTTACAAACATTACCATAAACCATAGTTGATAGTAACTGGAATTTGTGCAGATTCTGGTGTCACAACCAGCTGCATTTAATCTAAAATTAAAAGAAGTTTTAAAACTGCACTTTGTGGCCATGTTATAGATGTGGTAGTCCTTCTGCAGTCCATCCTTGTAGTGCTAAATTGTGTTGAATGATAACTGTCAGGGCTTGTGTCTTATACATATAATTATCACACTTTTGTACCTGCTGCTGGTTCTGTAGAATTTTATGTATACTTATAATTTGATATTTGAAGAACTTCAGAAAGTAAATTAAAGTTCATAATAATATGTGGAATACATTTTCAAAGAATAAAGTTGAAAACACAAAAAAATTGCTTACATTTTGTGTTCTACATGTGTTAGCTGTTTGAGTCTCATTTAGAAAACAAAATAAAACTGATAATATCAAGGTATTCTGAATTCTGTACAATTTTCAAAATGCTTTGTGAGTTAGTTAAAGTCTCTCTAACTAGGGAATTTGGGCAATTACAGTCTAGTTTATCCAGTATTGCTCGTACATTATCATATAAGTAGATTTCTTATTGACATCTTGTAAAACACACATACCATTGCCAGTTGAAGCCAGTTAATTAATTCAAAGACACATTGCCATATGATAATCATTTCTGTGTCAAAAAGCATCCAGAGACCTGGGATAGGGCGGTGTATACATTGTTGTAATGTGTATACAATGTGTATACATTGTTGTAATGTGTTTGAAAGTTAGTTTCCAAAGTGGTCTTAATGTAGTGATGTAATATGACTGAAGTTCTCTGTTCCAAATTCTCATGATTTATATGAACAGAGATAGAAATAATTGCCAGGGAGAGAAGTAGTGTCTGTGTTAAGCATGTTTTTTTCTGTTTTTTTCTTCTTGATGGACTTTTTGTTGTAGATTTATTTATGGAACTCAAGTCACATTTGTTGCCTGCATCTCTATAAAATATTACATAAAACCCTTTGATATATCCATTTATGACCTGAAGGAAATAGAAAATTCAGCTAGTGCAAAACATATCCTTAATCAGTTAGAAACTGAGCGTATATGTTGTATCATCACTAAAACAGCTACCTTGTAAAGGATAGCATATATAAATAGTAATTGTTTCAGGCATTGGAAACCTGTCTTTCTATCCTAGGGGTCACAGCAGTATACAGTAAAGATAATTAAAATGGTTGATTATGGAATCATGATAAATTATTGGATGTGTGACTAGAGATAGGCAGCCTAGTGACCTCCAGATATTTTGGGATGGGTTTCCCATCAGCTCCTGGCAGTTTTTCCAGTGGCAAGGGTGTGTGGGGCATGAAACATGACTATATGCTCAACTAAGTCTTTTTTTTTTCCTTGCAGAGCATAAAGTGATAATTGTTGGGCTTGATAATGCAGGAAAAACTACAATTCTTTATCAATTGTAAGTATGAAGTGGCATGAACAAGTGATTTGAATTACCTTGTTGATTTAAAATGCTGCTTCTGACAGCAATAGGTTGAAATCCCCTTGTGTACTTTCTAGCAGTGAAGGTGGCCAACTCTAGTTAGTTGTTTGGATTACTTCACTTATATGAACCCCCAGTGATAAATATATGATGATTGACAGGACTTTTCTTTGAAACTGCCTTTAAAAATCCATCAAAACTAATTTTCTAATGAAGAATTTTGTTGAGTTTCTCTTGAATGCACCATTGTCCAATTTCTTTGAATGCATCTGAATTCTAGTGTTGTTAGAAATAAACATGTCTATCTATTAATATTCATAATTTTATGTATTACCATCATACTATTTATATGCATTAAAATTCATGTTTTAATGGACTTTAGTTTACCAAATTTCATATTTAATGGACAAATTCTACTGGATTTTTTTTTTATTGTAAGTTTTATTATGTTTTCAAAAAAGTTAAAATACTGAAAAATCAAGAAAAAGGAAGGGAAAAAAAGAAAAAAAAGACAGGGAAGGAGGGGGGCATAAGAAAGAAAGAGTAGCTTCCGACTTTCCTTGGTACAGGTATAGATACAGAATATGTTCACCTCTTACTCTAATATCTAAATGTTTACATAGTAAAAACAGTTTTTAATATAATATTCAAGAAGATTCCTAAAATCAATCTGTTTGGATAATACATATAATTTGTTCAAGATATTTCTATAAGTATAACATCAATCAGCAAATCCCAAAATCAAAATTGGATTTTTTTGAGTATCAAGCAAAAAGTCTAAGAGTGGTTTCCAATTAGAGACAAAGTTAGACAGTGCCTTGTCTTTGAGGAGAGGGGTAAGTTTCGCCATCTCCGCCAATTCCATTAATTTTAGTATCCATTCTTCAGCAGTAGGTATTTGTAAATCCTTCCATTTTTGCGTGTATAGGAGTTTTGCCGCAGTTATCGTATAAAGAAAGAAATTTCCGTGTTGTCTTTCCATTTGTTTATCCATCATACCTAAAAGAAAAGTCTCTGGTTTCAATTGCAAGTCTATTTTCAATATCTTTTG